AATAAATAAATAAATAAATCTATATGAGTAGGAATTAATAGAGTAGCAGCAGACACAACACTCTCTTCAGAGATAAGTAAGCATTTATTGATCTATTTAAAACATTTATATAGCCGCCTATATAATAACAAACTCTTCCTTTTTGTCCCGTCCTCAAACAAATATGAAATACCTGTGTTAGAGGTGTTGAAGAAGGAAGCTGGGAGCAGGCTGGCACACCCTAAGTTTTCTGCAACACCCATGAGACACAACTTGAAAAATGCAGTTAAGGATATTAAAGATGCAAAGAGTGTGCATAAAAACAAAGTGTGTCACATAAGATCAGGCTAAGAGGCACAATAGATCAACCTCTGCAATGAACACACCGATAAAATCTTTCACTAGAAAACAGTAGCGTTCAGATTATATTAAACTATACAGTAAAATGTTCGTTCACTGAAACTAATGCTTCCATTCTCTGATTTTACTGATTCATTGCAATGATTTTACACTGTTCATTTGAAAGATTCTAGCAGTTTTTGACTATTAAAATTCCATCCCTCTCTTTTTAACAAAATGAAAAAAGAAATATTCTTCCTCTTTCGTCCATAAAGGAGGGTGAGGGCAACAAAGGCTAAAATCAGCATTTCTTAATCTGGTTTACAAAATAGCAAAAATATGTTTTTGTTTTTAGTACAGGATTTTACAGAAGTGCTACACTTTGTGGCAGATATGACCTTGATTTCATATTAGCCTGCAGCTCCAAGCCTTCTTATCAAATGGTAACTTTAAATCACTTTTTAACTTTCAAATCAAGAATGTAGCTGCATATGATTCTCAACAAATATTCTCCCATTCCCTTTGCTACAGCCTCAATCCAGAAGGATTTAATATAATCAAGAAACCTTACAGAGTTGGTTTTTAGTTTTTTTAAAACAAAGTTACTCTGTGCAATAGTTTTGTAATGAATCTAAACTTAGACATCCGTTATTTAACAACAAGGATATAAAACATGAGAATCCAGATGACTCAAAGAGGCCCAGCACACAGAATTCACCTTGGAAAATAAAAGGCAGATAAGCCTATTACAGCAAACAGTAGGGAAAATTAAATGAGAAGACTGGAGCAAGTGCTAAAAAAAGATGCAAAAAATTCAATAGGCAATAATACTTTGGAATGAAAGTAACTATATAGAAAAACAGGAATATCACTAAGGAGTATATAGGCCTCAGTAAAAAAATTTATTAAATCTTTTATATGCTTCAAACTAAACAAAGAGCAACCAACAAAAATAAAATGAAACCATATTAAAACAGATTGCAATGAGGACTATTCAGACGACGAGAAAAACAATTCAAAATGGGCTCAAAAAAACTATCTGGCAGAAAAGCTTTGATTTGTATAGGCAGGGGTAGAACTGCTATAAACATTTCAGAATATATTAGTTGAAAGTATGAATCAATAATATTCATTTTAATTGCTTACTAGACAACCTGCAACCTGTTGGGTCATTGCTTCAGAGAAATGTCCTTACCTAAACAGATAAACATACTGACTGCAGGCAGGCAAAAAAAAAATCATTGGGAGTGGAAGCAACTTCCAATATCCTGGTGGCTCCCCGCTTAGGTTTCCTTGTGGGAAGCTACCAATGAGCCCTGGAAATCTTCCTTCCCAGTAGGTAAATAAGTGATTGCTGCCAGGTGGGGGAAGGAACAAGGGAGTGTGTACGTGGCCAGCAATATAGCGTGACTGGACCATTTCTCCATTGACTTTCTCCCTGCAAGCTTCCCACAAGAAAAGACTTTGCTAGTAGGAAAGGAGCATAAAGGTATCAGCAATCGTATCAGTCCTTTCTGGATTTCCCATTAACTTGAGGAACTGTCAGAAAACGCTGAAAATGAAGATCAAGTGATTGCAGATGAACACGGCAGGGGCACTGAATAGCAGCAGTGCAGTAGTGCTGAAGCAGCAAACAAACAAACAAACAAACAAACAAACAAACAAAAAACACATTTCAATCCCTGGGAAGTAATGGATCCCAGCAGTTGTTGACAAAGTTTTGCCCTATTGATGCAGTGTTTTGCCCAATTGAAGGTGACAAAGTATCAAACAGGCATGGAAGTTTTAGTAGTATATAGATGGACATGAACAGAACTTCCTTTTTAAAGGCTAGATTGCAATGTAAAAAGAAATGTATAGGATACATCCATTGCATCTAGCCTAAATTATGATAAGCAAAATACTACAACTGATCAAGTGGGAAAAAACACATTCTAACAAGTTCTCAGGTTAATTACTCAGTAGAACTCAGATATTCTATTCATACAAGAACCAGCACGCTGACGATTTGTAATACTTTTTCATTCTTACCCAGTATTTTAAACTTGGTAAATTAAACTGCATAAAAAGACATTTACATCCTATCTTTTAAAAATAGTCCAGGGCTAGAAATATAATAAAATAATTAAAACCCCAAAGAGAAACATCAATGGAGATAATAAATGCCTAAAATAACAGAATTATTTACATAGCATCAAAATGTCAGCAAAAAGGATGCCCTTACTGAGATGTATTTTGGAAAGCCCTTTCACTTTATGTACAAGTGGGGGCATCTAGAGCAGTGGTTCTCAACCTTTTTAATGCCGCGACCCCAACCGGTCGTAAGTCAAGGACTAAACTGGTTGTAAATCGAGGACTAAACCAGTCATAAGTTGAGGACTAAACCGGTCATAAGTCGAGGACTACCCAACCGGTCGTAAGTCGAGGACTTTCCCTGCCCGGGAGCGCCGCACATGCGTGGTTCCGCCCCCTGCGCCGGCCGAGGCGTAGCTGGCAAGCGGCAGAGACGGAGCAGGCCGACCACCAGCTGCCCCAGCCCAAGGGAGGTAAAGCACACGCCGGAAAAGGGGAAAAAAATGGCGGACAAAAAAAATGGCGGACAAAAAAAATGGCGGACAGCCTTGCTTGGCGACCCCCATGAAATGGTCGATCGACCCCAAATGGGGTCCCGACCCACAGGTTGAGAACCACTGATCTAGAGGATCTACACTGACCTCAGTAAGGTCAAATGGAGAGAAGAGATCCATGCGATATCTCAGCTCTGCATGGTGAAGCCATAAACCCCTGGGCTTTAAACAGGGGTTGGGAAAACGATCAGGAGCTACTACAGTTACTTAGAAAGAAATGAGTTCTCAGCATCTAGAACACAGCAACATGTTCTAATTTAAACTACAAATTCTGAAGCAATCCACATATAATGAATAGCTTAGACCGGGGGTTGGACCAGTACCTGGCTGTGGCATGCCAGCAACCGGTCTACACAAATAAGCAAAGCCCCATCCGCGGGATGCAGGCAGCACACAAAACCATGCACTCTCCAGTCCGTGGAAAAACCTCTCTCCCTGGAATCGGGCCCTGGTACGCAAAAGGTTGGGGACCTCTGGCCTAGACTGATTAGAGTAAGATAACTAAGGTGCATCAGCTCAAACGGGTAAAAAACATTCTGGAGTATGAGCCAAGAGAACTCCCAAACATGTTTGTTATTTTACGAAGAATTTATCCAACTCAGGAGTTGTACTGAATTCTACATAAACTTCTATCACAAAAGTTGAATGAATTCCATTTGGGTGCTATATTTACCATTTTCAATCCTTAAATATTCTGCATTGTTTCTTTTTAAAACTCATTTAACATTTCATTTTGTAAAATCAACCAAATATAATTTAACTAAAATCATCAACCATAATGTTTATCAAATAAAACCTTAACCACAAGATTATAATTTATGTCATCAAAAGATATGAGTGATTGCAGGACAGAATACCTTCCGATTTGTGAAACATGGGTTATCATACATCTCTACGGTAAGAGAATTCTTTCCCAAACCACTGAGGTCGACAATTCCATATTTACATCCTCCTCGTTCTGCCTCACTCACAGTGATTATTCTCTCTGAGGCAGTGTCTGCCTGCAAAAGATGTAAATTATTCTACAACGGTATATTCCACAGTTTTTCTCTGAAGGCACATCCACTGATATTCAATGATGGAGAATATTTTTTATTCCTTTTAAATACTTAATGTCCCCAAATGTCATAGTTTAACACGTCAAACGTTTCTCTCATCTCACAGTCTCATTCTAGCTAACTGTTGCATTCTTCCAAATGTTTCTTAAAAGAATTTGTAAAAATACTTAAGATATCTGCAAGAAAAAAAATTCCTTAATGTAAAATCATATTATAACCTTAATGCAGACATGTCAAACTCATGACGTCACGTGATCTCACGCAACGTATCGGGGCAGTTTTGCTATTGCCGGCAATGGGGTGGGCATAGCTTCCGGGTGATAAGTCCGGCCCATGGGCCGGCAGTTTGACACCCCTGCCTTAATGTAAATATTGTTTTTTGAGCTTATAAGTTGCTCTACTCAACTGACTCTAAGCATCACACCATTCCATAAATCTGTAATCTGAGTTAAATATATAATAAAAAATTAAAACCAACAAATCTGCCACCATACCACAATTAGTTTAAAATTGTTGCTTCCAGAAACTGAAGAATTGAGGTTCTCAATTTCTAATTTTCTTCTCTGCATGCAATTCACCTTTAATTCATGAATCAGCCTACACAAGAAAGCAAAACAGGGAAAATTTAAGTAAACTGAAACTGAATGTCAATAGAGACTATTATTTAGCAGTTTTCAATTGCTCAAAAATCTCCAGCCCTGTTTATTCCTATGTTTTAACCAGGCTATTTGGTTAAAGTTATTTTTAAAATATTAGATGTATATGGGATATACATATACATTAAAATAACATTAACTGATCAAAGGTAAACAAAAACCTAATAATTACAAAGATAAATATCTGTAGGTTTACTCTTTCTGTAATATCCTACAATAGAATGTATCCATCCAGGAAGAGCCTTTTGAAGGTCCCCCAACTTCATACAGTTCATGGGGCCACAGATCAAGTGATAAGATCTTCTTGATGGCAGACCCTACTGCATCAAACATTTTATGCCTATCTTTACACGTGGCCCCAATTCATCCTGACTTCAGGAAGCAAGTTAAAGGGTACCGTTATAGTGTGCTTTTGATTTAGTTTTGTTTGCATGATCTTATGAATGTTACTATTTTAATTGATTTTTTTTAAAAAAAGTATTATATTTAAAATATTGTATACTGCTGAGATTCTATGTGGAATGGGCAATTTAATAAAACTGTCAAATAGGTAAATCAGGATAAACCTATAAAAATACTATGTCTCCAGTAAACAGTCCCCCTGGTATTAGGTTTTAGTCTAGCAAACAGATTCTCTTTTCTGCGGGACTATTAAGGTCAACACTATAGCGTAAAAGCTCTGCAACATAAACAGGTTTTAAAATATCTTACCTGCAATAAGTGATAGAACTATAAAAACCTAATTGCTTCTTGCGTAAGATAATTGAAGAGTTCAGCCCAGATCTAGGTGTTTTCTATTGAAAACAATAAAAAACAAAATGTTTCTTATTCAGATTAAATTATGTGTGGTTACCATTTTAATATCCAAAAATTGAATGGATTTCATACAATGGTAGACCCCCTTACTATGGTCAAACCAATAGTTTAGGATTGTAACTAATTGTTAGTAGCACAAACATTTATAATGAAACTTAGATGAAAATAAAGAAAAGGCTACAATCTATCACAAAACTAATTTTAATGAGACGAAAGGGTTTAAAAGCAAGTACGAAATGTTAGCACTATGTGACTGTAATTCAACCCTACCTTTACCATTTTCTCATCCTCTTTTAAAAGTTTTAACCTTTGCCTTTCCATCTCTTTCTGATGAATACCCTCCTTGGTGAGAGGATTACAGTTGTTATGCCCAGGAAGTAAACGAAAATAGCGATTCTTTTCAGGATCATAATAAAATCCTGGTAATTCTTAAAAAAAGAGAACGACAGATCCTATTATTAGAAGGCTCTTTCAACGTCTTCAAAACTTACACAGTATTGCAGTTTTAGGATCTGGAATAAGAAACTTCATACTTCCAGTTCAATCCAAAGAAGTTGCTTTTGTTTGTTGTACTACAAATAAGCATGGCTACTAAAATAATAATAAAAATCCAGTCTGAACATCTGGCTCACTGTGCGACAAACCATGATAAAATATAAGAATCATTTATATTAATAAGATCAAAATAACTCAAAATAAAATTCAGCATGTAGAACAGCAATGTTTATTCTAAAATTTTTAAAATGAATTTTATGTAAAAGTTATCTAACACACTGTCCTCACCAAAAAGCAACTATATCGTGCTTATACTGTATATTTTTCTCAAAATATTCAGACTTTAGATGCACTTTAGATACTAGTTATGGTAGTTATAAAATAGCCAATCACACACATTTGCTGCAATTAGCAAAATATTTGCATCCGAGCAATTACATAAAATTGTCTAACAATCACAATCTGAGAGAGAAGGAAAGAATGCAAACTGTAAATTATGTGAAAAAAATGTCTTCCTATATTAATACTTGGGGGGAAAAGAAATTGTTACTAAAAACAGCCATTTTCTATTTATCCATATAATTTGTCATTTTGAAAATTGATTTATTTTTAACCATGAAGGAAAATCATGTTTTGAAAAGTTTAATGACTTTTTTGGCTCAAACCTATAGAAGTAATAGAAACCTACCTGGAACTGAAGAACTTTGGCGTGAATGGGAAGATGCAGAAGGTGATTCAGTTTGGCTTCTACCTGAGTTCTGCAAGCTTTGCAATTCTCTTTGTTCAGGCCTATGAATATGTGAAAAAGAAAGAAAGAAAGAAGATAGTAGACAAACTAAATAATGAAGCAACCATCAAACACAGAAATACTCAAGGGCTAAAAGTTTACAAAGAGCAGAAAATGATGTCAAAAATTCCATTACTGTATATAGCACAATATTGCATTTGAACTATATCTTTAAATTAGTTTCTCAGGCCTTTCATTAATTTACTGAAGCAGCTGACAAAGCATGGAGGGTACTGAGAAATGGTCTCGACTAGGGAATCTTGGAACTGCAGGAGAAATCTGCAGTTAATAGAATTCTTGGTGTCTGCCAAATATGTTTATGCAGGGCTTTTTTTCTCATAGAACGCCCAGAACGGAGTTCCGGCACCTTTTTTGGATGAAACCTTGTAAGATAGGCAAGGCAGGTTGTATAACATGTGTGAGTTCCGGCACTTTTTTTTTCTTCAAAAAAAGCACTGTGTTTATGACAGCATCTAACATTTAGAAGAGGCTTTACCATAGTGCCAATAAAAGCCCTCTCTGCCATGTCCTCTTAAATCACAGAAGAGTGACGATGCCACAGCAATTCCTTTCAGGTGCTACAGTGAAAAAAAGGAAGTAACCTTAATATGCAGCTGAGGTTCACAAGCTGAATGTGTCAGCATTTCTTAAGGATTACCCCAATTAGTAATAATAAACCAAAACATAAAATGTTCCAAGTACTACAGTATAAGGATGGCCTACATGACCTTAAAAGTAGCAAAGTATTTATAGTAGATAGAAAACAGCAACACATACAGCATAATCAAGATGAGGATTTGCTTTTCATCAACTTCCGGCACATAACTTTTAAATAATCTACTCTCTTTGAAATACATTTTTAAAAGGCCAAAAATAAATACTTGCCTTTCAGTAGAATGCTGATGGTGGAATACCATATAAGGCTGGGTATTACGCATTCGTCTATGATTATGCTGTTCATGGTTTCTTCTACCTTGCCACCTATTTCTCTTCATCTCTGTAATGAATAAAGGTACTTTAAAATATAACTTAAGCTTTTTGAGTAACGTTGATAGCTTTGGAATTCAATAACCTACCAGAAAAATAAATAACAAGCATGTCCACTTAAATATTTAAAAAAAATAAATGGTGGCCACCATCGTGATCTGCAAATCTAACACGGACAGGAGAACTTGTTCCACTGTGCATACAAGAGTCATAATTAGGCACAAATTGTCCACCAGTCTGTAAACAAGTTCATCAAATTGACCCTTTCTTTGTACAAATTTAATCCAAGTATGCAACATATTCCAAAATTATACACAAATGGTCCGTTTTAGGAACACTTCATTTTCAATAAATTTCATTTACAGGAAAAAGTACAGGAAGAAAGAAAAGTCAAACGTAACTCATTGTCACTATATGAACATAGATAAACCTTTTTTTTCCGCGTCAGTAAATAAATTGTTGCTGTGTTTTTGACTTTTCAGTCCAGCCTACAATCTGATATGACCCTATTGCCTTCAATCCAAGAACTATTGTAACTAGAACTGACTCTGTTTTGAGCCCAGGTAAGTTCAATATAGGGGCTACAGGTAAGTGAAATATAGTGATTTGCCTTTTTTGAATTTATTAAATTTGAACTTCTGCAAGTACTAGCTTTAGGAAACGATCAAGCTGGTGTACAACATCAATATATGTTTAGCATGGCAGTTTTTATCTGCAGTGACTTAAGGCTTAAGCTATTCTCTTCACATTATTACTCTGCCCCAGTCGCATGTTGCCTCCAAGGATTTCTCCCTGTCTTCATTGTGTCTTTATAACAATCTGCTTAGTTAGCTCACACAGAAAGGGATTACCATACAATCATCCACAGACTTTAGGGCTTAAAGATTTTTTTGATTCTGAATTTCCTCCACATCTAGCCTCTTATCCCAAAGTGCTTCAAAGTTCAAGGAAGATGGTACCAAAAACGTAAGCAAAGACTCTCATATAACAAGTTCAATATTTGGAAATCCTGCAGATGCATCCATCTATTTCTCTTGGGGAAAACATTAAGCATTAAACATTTGCTATTGTGGGTCCTTGGTGCCCTCTGAGCTTGGTTGTTTTCTTCCAGACATTTCATTATCAGGTAACAAAGCTCAGAGAGTACCAAGGGACGCACAGTTCAACCTTGAGTTACAAATATTCTCTCCTATCAGAGCTGAGGAAGCTTCTTGGATGAGAAGCAAAACATCTTCAAAGAAAAACAAGAAAATCCAGTTGCCTTGTGAAAAAAGCACTTTGGGGTCTCCTATCGGAAGTTTGCCATTGTCTTCTGCCGGGACTTTTTTTTTAAAAAACAAAACACTGTTTGACTTCAACAGCCTTCCATCCAAGTCCAAGTCAGACCCTGCCTAGTTTCTCGAAACCAGCTAACATCAACTAGGTGACTTCCACGATCATATAGTCATGCAGTTCGCCTTTTAGATCCTCTGCTTAGTGCAGGAATCCAATCCAAAGCCTCGGCGAGAAATGGTGGCTGCCTTCTGCTTCAGCCTAGCCATCTCTGAAGAGCTCCCCGGTTCCTGGGTAACCACACCATCTGAAATCTCCATCTCCAAAGCACCCGAGAGCAGGACAAGAAGCAATGGATGGAAACTAATCAAGGAGAGAAGCAACCTAGGACTAAGGAGAAACTTCCTGACAGTTAGAACCATTAATCAGTAGAACAACCTACCTCCAGAAGTTGTGAACGCTCCAATAATGGAAGTTTTAAAGAAGCGATTAGACACTCACTTGTCTGAAACGGTATAGGGTTTCCTGCCTGAGCAGGGGGTTGGACTAGATGACCTCCAAGGTAAGGTCTGTCCTGTCCTGTCCTGAAATGCCTGCTGTTTATAAAGACCTCTCTAAATTCGCAGAGGAGCCCTCCCGCTCTCCTTCAATCTAACTGCTAGCACCGGGCACGAGCAGAGGAAGGAGATTTAAGCCCCGTCCTGCCTCTTCGTCCCGCCGTGAAAGCCACGGATCTCACCCTCGCCATGAACCCACCTAACCCGCAGCGGAGGATTTCGTTTTCGCTTGCAGCAACCTCTCAGCCACCCGGAGATTTTAATTGGCCAACAGCGGGCGCCTATCCCGTTGCGCGTTCTTTCCACAACGCGGAAACAGAAGCTTCCGAGGCATTCCCTCTGTCACGTGGCCTCGTTCCCTTGCCCCCCCCCCAAAAAAAAGAATCGGGTCACGCGATTGTCCGGCCTTGAAGGGGGAGGGAACTTACTAAACACGTGCAGAAGTAGGCGGTGCGCTGGGGAGAACGGGGCTTTGCCTGGAGAAGGTGCGAACGCACATACAAAAAAGGGTAACTGTGTGGCGGTATTTCTCGATCTTGACCGCGGGAGGATGGGTGGATTTCAGCTCCCGCTTGGTTGGGGGAATTCTGGGAATTGAAGTCCACACGTCTTCAAGTTGCCAAGGTTGAGAAACACCGGGTTAGAGGACAAACATGTCAAGATTGTAGAACTGAAATGTACATTTTCTAAAAAATAAAAAATAAAATGTGAGAAGAGCAGTTTGCAAGCTATAGATCAGTGTTTCTCAACCTTGACAATTTTAAGGCATGTGGACTTCAACTCCCAGAATTCCACAGCCAGCATTGCTGGCTGTGGAATTCTGGGAGTTGAAGTCCACATGCCTTAAAATTGTCAAGGTTGAGAAACACTGCTATAGATATTGCTGAACGGCTTCTCTTTTATGGCTTCTGTTTTAAGGCCATGAATGAAAATCCTACCAAACGAATAAGGAAAACTGCAGAATGAACATATGGTCATCCATATGTCACTGGCCTTCCTTTGATGAAGGGGTACTAGGAGATTTTTTTTTTTAAAAAGAATAGACAGGACAGTCACTTATCTGAAATGGTATAGGCCTTTCTGCCTGAGTAGGGGTTTGGAATAGTAGACCTTCAATGTCCCTTCCAACTCTGTTATTCTGTATTCTGTATTTATTATTGGGCACTTAAAACATTTTGGATTTATGAAATAGCTTGGTGGCAGAGTATTTATAAAGTCTGTTTCCTTGCAAGAAATAATATGGAACAACAAGAGAATATCAAGGCATTATAAAGTGGTATTAACACTTCACGTGATCTTGATTCTATCCTCTGTTAATGCAGCCTAGCATTGTGTTGGCTTTTTTGGCAGCTGCAGCACATTGCTGGCTCATATTTAATTGATTGTCCACTAGGACTCAAGATCCCTCTCATAGTTACTACTATGGAGCCAGGTTTGTACATTTCTTTTTTCTTGCCTAAATATAGAACCTTACTTTTTTCACCATTGAATTTCATTTTGTTAGATAGCGCCTAATGTTCAAATCTGTCAAGATCCTTTTGTATCTTAAGCCTATCTTCTGGAGTGTTGGCTATTCTTGCCAGCTTGGTGTCATCTGCAAATTTGATGAGTTCCCCATCTATCCCCTCATCCAAATCATTGATGAAGACGCTGAAGAGTAACGGGCCTAAAATAGAGCCTTGGAGTACCCCCCCCCCCGCATACTTCCCTCCGTGTAGATGCAGTTCCATTGAGGACTATACATTGAGTGCAGTTGGTCAGCCAGCTACTAATCCCTCTGGTGATGATGCTGTCTAACCCACATTTTTCTATCTTATCTAGTAGTACAGTAGGTTGTGGTCTACTTTATCAAATGCTTTACTGAAGTCCAAGTAAATTATATCCACAGTATTTTGCTGGTTCACTAATTCTCTCACTTTGTCAAAGAATGCAATAAGATTTATCTGGCATGATCTGTTTTTGACAAACCCATGTTGGCTTTTGATAATGGCTTTGTTTGCCTCTGGGTGTTCGCAGATTCATTGCTTGATTATCTTTTCTAGAATCTTCCCAGGTATTGAGATCAGGCTGATAGGTCTGTAATTTCCTGGATCTATTTTTTTTCCTTTTTTGAAGATGGGAACTACATTAGCTGTTTTCTACTCCTCTGGTAATTCCCTGGTACTCCAGTATCTTTGATATATATAGTTCAGTGATTCTGAGATCACATCTGCCAGTTCCTTCAGAACCTTGGTGTGTAATCCATCTGGTCTTGGTGATTTGAACTCATCTAGGATGGGCAGGTGCTCACTTACCATTTTCTTGCGTATTTTAACTTGTATTTCTAATCTGTTTTTTATGGTACTGGTTTTGATAGGTTGGACTGTTTTTTTCCTTTTGTGTAAAGAATTTTAATTTTACCTTTTCTCTCTTGGCCAGAGGAACACATATTGAATGTATTGTATATTTAGAATGAAATCCTGTATACATACATATTTAGTAAATCATACCAAATATACATACAAAGGGAAATTTGACCCATTTTACGACTTTCCTTGCCACAGTTGTTAAGTGAATCATTGCATATGTTAAGTTAGTAACATGGTTGTTAAGTGAATCTTGCTTCCCTGTTGACTTTATTTGTCAGAAGGTGACAAAAGCTGATCACATGACCCCCATGACACTGCAACCGTCATAAATGTGAACCAGTTGCTAAGCATCTGAATTTTGATCATGTGACCATGGGGATGCTGCTATGGTTTATTGTGGAAAACATCATAACTCACTGTAAAACTCCATACTCTGCACATATTCTTATAAATGACGTGCCTCCATTTTCCCCAACTTTGCAATGAATGTCTGTTTTGAAGCAGGTAAATATGAATTTATAAGAGAATTTTTGTTTGTTGTTTAGGTCAAATACTTGTGCTCCTCAAATACCTTTGCCTTGCCTTCAAAATCTTGAATTGCCTAACTCTTACTGTGATCACTTACTTCTGCTCTATCTGCTCTTGCAGGCATCAGTCATAATTCTATGAGTATCTGTGAACTAAAATCATACTGTAGACCTAATTTGGTATTGGTATTGTTGGAATTGGTATTGTTTTCTATAAATATTTAGTATGGACTACCTTGATTACATCAGTGAATCATGACTTGAATAATATTAATTTGAAATGCATATTCAGCCTAATTATACATGTCAAAAATTATGATTCTAGCTGTCAGCTGTTTTAAAAATGTTGATTTTGGTCTAATGAATTATGTGACAATTGATGTAGCAGCTCTGTTTTCTCCCCTTGGAGTATTTTTCAATATTGGAGCTAAGTTGTCAAATATTTACACTCAAAATAAATAGCATAATGTTTAATATCCAATATATAAGTCTTCTAAGACTTTTCTGATAAAAGTGTCATTTTCCATTGTGGCCAATAGAGAGCAGCATTAACATAAAGATTGCCAAATGTGCTGTCCATATCTTTTTTTTTCCTTTTTAACAGATGTCATGAATTGACACATTAAAGCATAGGGAAAAAAAAGTCCGCTGGACAATTCAAAGATATATTTGAAAAATAGATGCAGTTGTATTGGTTGCGTTTGTGACTGCAGTCAGAAAAGGACTACTCTTTGTATAAGTGTGTGCATGGATCTTGGACTTGAACTTGATTCCTGGTGCTTACATGGACAAGTCTGTGCAGTTTGCTTGGCATTATTTTTTAGAATGGTTTCCTCTTGTTTTCTTCCTAGCAACTGGGAGAGAGTGACTGGCCCAAAGTCATCCAGTTGGCTTTCCGCCAAAGACAGAACTAGAATTCCTGGGTCCCCAGTTTCTGTCCATATTGTCAGCCTCTGAAATGTTTTTTTTTCTCTTTAAACCCAGGATGACAAAACCGGATGGTCTAGAAAAGAATTTTCTGTTTTTCTTCCAGAATGTTCTGTTTTTCTCCTGGAACACACCAATGTCATTGTTCCAAGAGTGCTCTGTATTATTCCAGAAAGTATGCTGACATGTTCTGCTTCCTAACATATCTTTAAACCATGAACGCAGCGGATGATATTCACTTGTTTTGCATAACCCCTACCCTTAAATTAACAACGTAGGATGTTTTTAGCATCTTGCAATTAATTTGGTAGACATAACCTACAGGACTGATCTTATTCATCGAGCAAATACGTTTTCTGTACTTTAGTTAAGGCGATCTGTAATATCAAAAGCAAATCCCCCCCCCCCGCCAGCCCTGGTGCCCCGATTCTAGTCAGACTTTTCATTTTCCCCAATCAGCGTGTTATCAGGTAAACGTTTTGAGGATTGGAGCCTATTTCAAAAGGCAGTAGCCGAATATTCTCCCCCACAACCACAGAGCCTGATCTTGTTACCAAATCCTACTTCTCCAGAGGACAGATTTGGCTCGAGTCTACATCTGTACGTTTGTCTGCATCTGGATGCAATTCTTCTAAAGCAGATGTCATCTCTGGAGAGTTTCCCTTCCAAAAGAGGAATCCCATGTAAGTCCACAGCAGGAAAAAAAGCCAGCTAAACGATATCTAGTAAAGCCCTTGGATACACATGCTGGTGAACGTAATGCTGTTTTTATGGGTGAGCATAAATCATTCTGAAGAAAACCCCCTCAGGATGTATTCTGAATGTGTTCCATTCAACCTCTGCCGTTTTCATTATTTTGGATTTGTGAAAAAAACAGTCTACTCCGCTAGTATAAATAAACACTGGCAAAAGCAAAGTACTATTTTTACTGAGTTTTGAGATTTGCATTCAGTTTAAGTTACTTTATGTATTGGCTTCAATGTATTGGTATTACATCATGACACAGCACTTTATCCGAAGCCTTTTTTTTCTATTTAACTAATTACTAGAATTCCTCAGTTGTCTCCCCATTCCACATGTTTAAAGACATCAAT